CACGTGAAAGACAGGTAGAGTGGCGTGCTACTCAGTGGCTCCTTCTGGGAAAGCAACATACAGATTCTTCAAGGAAACGAGGGGGTAGAAAATTAAGAATATCCCTGAGTTAGACTTCATTTCCAGAATTGTAACTAGAGGCAGACATGCTTCAATGTACATTTTCCTATGTGTATAGGGTAGAATTTATTTACAGAGTAAGGGTTTACAGCAAGCAAAAACAGTCCTGGGTCTTGTTTTTGGCTTGGTTCCCAGAAATTGACTCTGTGGAGTCTTGCATGTAAGGGGTTGTTGGAGAGAGATGTGGAGATGTCTGACTGAGCGGACGGAGAAGCTGACCCCCAACGCAGTTGCAACGGAGTCCCTGCCCACCCCACAGGGAGCTCTGGACCTAAGATGTCTTTTCAGAGTGCCCTCACATTGAAGCAAGGATCCTGGGCATTTGGACTCTCAAAATGTCCAGTTATTAAATAATCTTTGAAGACAATGTTACAAAAATAAAAAGACAGACCACAACTTGGAAAAAAAGATTACAAATCTTGTAAAAAAAAAAACTTGTGTTCAGAATAAATAAAGAAATCTCAAAACTATTAAGAAAACAAGCACCCTAATAAAAAGAAGGGTAAAGGATTCAAATAGGCACATCACCAAAAAAATATATGATTTGCAAAGAAGACTATGAAAAGGTGTTCAATCGTGTTGGTAACCAGGGAAATGAGAAGTAAAACCACATTGAGTTACTATACAGATTTTCTGGGGTGGCTAAAATTCAAAGAACTGAACACCCCAAAGTCAACAAAAACGCGAAAGCACTGGAACTGCCATACACTGAGGGGGGGACGGTGCGTTTCTGTAAACAGTTTGTTTCTTTGGTTAAATATACCAGCCATTCCTCTCCTAGGTATTTACCCAAGAGAAAGAAAGTGTTATATGCATACAAAGACTTTTACATGTTACTAGCATCTTTAACTGTTAACAGCCAATAACTGGAAATAATTCAAATGTTCATTAAGAGGTGAACACAGAAGCAAATTGTGATATATCCACAAAATGAAACAAAACTGAACAATATAAAGGACTATTGCAATATGGATAACCTTCAAAATAGTTACACTAAGTGAAAAAAGGCAGAGTACATGCTACATAATTCTATTCATATAAAAATCTAGAAAATGCACTAATTCTAGTTCATCTAGATCACCCCCACTCACCTTGATTTATCTCATTGCTCTGCTTCCTTCCAGACCCAGCTCAGCTATCACCTGCCAGGGAACCTCCCTGACTGCCCCAGATCTGGTTTGGTGCCTCTGCTGAGTTCCCAGAGTGTCCTGTGCATCTCACCCAGCATAATATTTATGTACATTGTAATCATCTACTTCCTTGTTCATCTTCTCACTAGCCTGCAAGATAATTCCATTCAAAAACTACACCTATCCCCGCTGGTGTGGTTCATGGGGTAAGTGCCAGTCTGCAAACCAAAGAGTCCTGAGTTCAATTCCCAGTCAGGGCACATGCCTTGGTTGCAGGCCAGGTTCCCAGGAGGGGGCGCACAAGAGGCAATCACACATTGATGTTTCTCTCTCTCTTTCTCCCTCCCTTCCCCTCTCTAAAAATAAACTCTTTAATAAAAAATAAAAATAAAAATAAAAAACACACCTAGGTTTAAAAACCTAGCACCAAATAGATGCTCCACAAATGTCTACTTGAAACACCTACTGAAACAAAAGGAAATGGGTGAATGACCGAACAAAAGAACCAACAATGAATCAGAGAATATAACGTGGAGGCGTTTTAGAGACCCAGCCTTCGCATACCCAGGCCAAACTTGTGGACAGACAAAACAACATGGAAACAGATAAAATGTGATTTTTTTTTGCAGACAAATATAAAAGGTTTGTCTCCCTCCCATCATCTGGATTAGTTTATTTGAATTCTACTCTTCAATATTCCAAATGAGAGAAATTCAGTTTCCCAAGAGAAAAAGAAGGGTAAGTTAGGAGTTATAATGGAGGGTGGGGTTACAACAGAGACTGAGTGGCCCAGGGGCAGCTCTGGGGGGAAGCGTCACCAAGGGGCAAGAGTGAGGGCACACTGCGGAGGGATGCAGCTTCCTGGGTGGGTGTCAGGGCAGGGCGGGGGGAGTGTAGCTCAGTACATTGGGTCTCCCCCCCAGGCCTGGAGTCACCACTTGCTGGATAATGGCCTCAGAAAAGTGACTGAACTTTGTAAGTCTTAGTTTCTCACCTGTAAAAGAAGGATATTAATAGTGGTGGCTACTCACGGATCACGGGCCATAACTCAGGTAAAGCACCCAGCACAAAATAAAGATCCTGTAAACAGTAGCCGTTGGCAGGAAAGAGCTGTGGCCCAATCCCTGGCCTTTTTGTGGTCCTGCCAACAACGCCCAGTCCCCTGAAAGGTTTATGGATCTTTCCACACCGCGCGACAGCCAACTAACTCCTGGTCCGGTCGGCACGGTTCTGCCTGCCCTCTGGCTTGACGGCGCAGGGCTTTAGTAAAGAACTCTGAATCAGGCCTTATGGTGAAAGGTGTAAAATAGAATTATTCTGCCTGAAGAAAATCAAGTTTAGGTTTTAAAACTTACAAAAGACTTGTTCTACCTAGTTGTTCTCCTTCTTGCTCAAAACAGGTTTAAAATTCTGGGTGAGCGATAGTTAGGTTCGATCCAAGAAAGAACTCCTGGGAGTACGAGGGTGTTAAAAACCTTAGTTGAGCCCTGGCCAGGTGGCTCAGTTGTGGAGCGTCACCCAGGAGGCCAAACCGTTATGGGTTCCACCCTGATCAGGTACCTACCTAGGCTGCAAGTTCAGTCCCCGGGAGGAGCATACAGGAGGCGACTGATCAACGCTTCTGTCTCATCCATGTTTCTCTCTCTGTCTCTCTCTCCCCCCTTCCTTGCACTCTAAGATCAACAAAAGCAAGGATTTAAAAAACAAACAGCAACAACAAAAAAACCCAGTCAACTACCAAAAGTAAATACATATCTTTCTTCCCTCCCTCCTTTCCTTCTTTCCTTCCTTCTTCTTTCTTTTCTTTCCTTTCCTTTCCTTTTCTTTCCTTTTATTTTCTTTCCTTTTCTTTTCTTTTCTTTCTTTCCTTCTTACCAGTAGCCCAGAAAGCACTTTAGGACCTACAATGTCCTGAATATAAATTTGGCGCATGACATATAATTCACATAATTTCACAGTCTACTTGTAACCACTTAGCACCACAGTTTTTGTATCGGAGACCCTCTCCCTCTCTGTCCCTCCCTCCCCTGTCTCTCTTTCTCTGGCACTTCTCAAACTTCACTCTGCAAGAGGATCATAGGAAGAAGTTGTTTCTAAACATGCAGACTCAGGCAGCGCCCTCTGCAGTCCCCGAGACCACTCTCTCTCTCTGACAGTGTTTGGATGCAACGGACCCAGGGAGGCCCCTGCTTCCAGCTCTGACCACCCTCCAACCTTTTTTCATTCATCATCTTTGAAGCCATCTCAGCCATCCTCAGCGTCCAAGACCAGCCAATGCAATTTGTTTTACCATAACTTCTGACTGACGAACAACCATGAGCTCCCCAATTCATCAGAATTGTTCCACCAAAAAAGAGGCTTCTATCAACCACATGGTTAACCTGCATCTGCAGGCCTCATACCCCTGCCTTGGTCTGGGCTCCTATTTCATCTGGAACGTTGGGGTTCTGGAGGGCTGGGCCACTTCTTTCATGAGCTGGCTGACAAGAAGCGCAAGGGCACCCAGCCTCTCTTGAAGATGCAAAACCAGGGCAGTAGAAGAGTTCTCTCCCAGGACATGCTGAATCCATCCCACAGTGAGCAGGATAAAACTCAGGACATGGTGGAAGCCAGCATGATCCTGGAGAAGAACCTGAGCCGGGATCTTCAGGATCTGCAGGCCCTGCATTCTGCCCACACGGACCTCCATCTCTCTGCCTTCCTGGATGCAGAGGTGGAACTATCAAGACGGTGGGCGGCCACCGTCCGCCCTGAGTGGGCAGGGCTGGGAGAGCATCTCTTCATGAGGCTCACCCTCACACACATCAAGGAGCTTTCGGAGCCTGGAGGTCTTTGAGGAGCCCCTCTGAACCCCCCTGGTGTCTGGCTTTTGCCTGACCCTCTCCCTGAAACCAGTAGGCATCCTTTTTAACCACCCTGGAACCCTCCCCCATGCACTGGACCAAGTGCAAATAATAATGCTTTTCTGCAGCAAAACAAAAGTAATTTAATTTAAAAATAATAAACAATAAAAAAATATACATGTAGGTTCAACGCAACCCTACTGAATCACAATCTCTAGCAGGAAAATCTGAGAGTCTGCACTGTGAACAAGCTCCTGGGATGACGCAGCACGTGAGAACTGCTCTAGAACATGACGTTACTCAGGGAAAAGGTGTGCATAACTCTTCGGACTCCAAGTCCTCCCCCTGGGGAGGCAGGAAATTAGCCCGAGAGTTCGATCTTCTCTCTCAGCCAGCTCTGAGGGCAGCTCCGTGCCCAGGCTTTGGGGCTCAGCCCAGATGCTGTGACAATGGCCAAGGAGCCAGCTCCTCCCTGGTGGGTACAGGCCTGGTTCTGGCAGCCCCTTTTCTCTGCACCACAGACACTGGCTGACCAAGTGACATGGCCAGGTCCAGAGCATCTTGGATGGCCGTGGCAGAGTGAACCAGCTGAACTCTGGAAGTTTCCTTCTAGGTCTGTAAGTTGCACTGCTCACTCTGTGTTGCCCTGAAAATAGCAGCTTCTCCCACCACATTCATAAACTCCACTCTACTCACAGAATCACCCACCTCTACATTCAAACTCTTACCTCTTCCTGGAAACAGAAAGGAAGAATGAAATACAAATAACGTGGTTACCAGACAAGTCAGAAAGTTTTGAAGTTTCTCTTCCAAATGGTTGAGAAGTACCTGCTGTGAGGCAATTCAGAAGCTTAAAAGAGGAACTGCCTGAGTCAGAGTGTCTCCATTGATTACTTTCCTCACCAGGGAGCAGGGCTGCCAGAGATGCCAAAGGAACAGGGCAAAGTGGGATGGCATCATAGGAGGACTTGGTAAAACCTCATCTCCTTCCACAGGTGAGTTTTCTATGGGCGAGTGGCGAGGGGTTTGGGGGGGATGGGGTGGAAGCAAAGGTAATCCTCCTGCAATGAAGATTCAGTGTTGCCAGAAGGCTGCTCCAGTAAGGGACGCCTTCCATCCCCACCTCCTTTACTTGTTTGAAGCACACAGAGAGTGAGGCCTGCCTAACTTTAACAATGAAATATCAGTGCATATTTTCAACAATAAAGGTGAAAGCCTTGTTTCCATTGTTGCTCGTAAAGACAGGGAAGAACACTGTTGATCAAGATCCCTTCTCAAATGTCTTTCCGAAAACAGTTTAAAGGTTTGTACGTTTTTACCAACTTTCTGTCCTTACAGTCTTTAATCTCCCATGAAAACCCCAGCACACCTGTGCCTCCCATAACAGTGGCTCTTTCCCAGCAGGTACATTTAGAGAAAGGAATCTGTCAGCCCACTAATAACAGTCCTGTCAAGGAAGGGAGGCGATGCTGCCAGCGCAACAGGAGACACTATCTCTGGAAAATTACAGGAGTGCCTCAGTGTGCACGGTGTGTGTCTGTTTATGTTCTCGTTTCCTCCACTAGCGATAGCTTCTGTCAGTCCGTGAGTTCTGTCCTGTGAGTGAAACAGAAAATTGCTACAGCTTTACCCACTCCCAGCTGGATGTTAAACCAACAGCATAGTGATCTTAAACTCAAGCCTAGGTAACTCCTGCTTTATACCTCTTTGAGCTCAAAGGGAAGCAGAGAATTATTCCCCAAAGATGTGATACTTAAAAATAGTAAAAATTATTTGCCTGATTTTTAGTATGTGTGTGTGTGTTGTGTTTTGTTTTGTTTTTCTATTTAAGGTGTGAGAGATTTTCCTAAAAGGAAAAAAGGAATATGGGGTCTTTTGATGTATCTTTTACCATAGGTCAACGACCCAATTGCCAAGAAAATTCAAGGAAATAGGTAGGAGGAAACAGAGAAGGCATGGTTGCTAGGAGGTCAGAGGCAAGGGAGTAGCACAGAAACTTAAGCCTGTCGCCACTTCGCTAGGAGAAAGACACAGGGCGCTAGAGCTTCCCTGATGCATCAGAGACCACTCACTGTCCACTAAGTCAGCCTCCCCTTCTCTCACTGCAGCTGGGCACGAAACCCTTCAGCAGAAGACTTCATTCACAGCTTCCTAGATGTGGCCGTAGGACCACATGGTCGTCGGTGGGATTATTGTGGGACGTGGTGGATTCCACTCCCTGGTCTGGGGCGGAAGGCGACCACTACGCACTCCTCTCCTCTCCTCACCTTCCCACCAGCTGGGACACAGGTGGGCCTGCCACCAGCGTGGATCTCACAGACGAGGACAACGTGACCCCACGGAAGGAATCTGTGATCCTGAGTGCCCACATGGAGCAAAGCTAACCCGAAGTAAGAGAAAAATGAATTTCTGTTCACTTCAGCCATTATGTTTCTGAGCCTTTTTGTAACTGTAGCTTAGCTTTCACTCTAACTATGGCCCATTGTAACATTTGAAATTAAGGTCTTAGCATGGAAATAAAGAGCCTTCAAATGTTATCTGTTTTCTCTGGTAACACAAATCTCCCTGGATTTCAAGAGGTATTCTGTTTTAAAGGCAATGATGTATTGTTTCCTGAGAATTTACACAAGACAGATTCACAAGTTAAAAGAAAGAACATTATATCTTCCAAAAAATGTTATTCTAAATTTACCAAATTTATTCTAAAATGTCCTTTGAAAAGTCATCAATAGTCAAACTTGTATTAATCACAGATTTGTTCGGCCACCATAGCTATAGGTGAAAACAGTTATGGGATAAATTGTGCCCCCCTGCATTCATACATTGAAGGAAGTCCTAAGTCCCAGTACCTTAGCATGTGGCTATGTTGGGAGACATAGGGTCTTCGAAAGGTAATTAAGGTGAAATGAGGTTATTAAGGCAGACCCTCAGCCAATATGACTAGTACCCTCATAAGAAGAAGGTACTAGAACATATGAGGGGGGGACCCAGAAAAACTCTGAGTTATCTCCTGGAGGGGAAGCCCCTTGTAGTACAGGCTTCCCCTGCTAGGTTAGAATTCTGGGAACCCATCCGTATTAGAGTGCCAGCTGGTGTTGTTGTGAGAGGCTGCTTTCCACTTCAGTTAATTTTTTTGAAGATTCTTTCAGTGCATCTCCCCAGTTCATGATGGGTGATTTATAAGAGCACGGGCCAACACCATGCTGAGTGTGCAGCAGTTTTTGACCAAAACAGCATGACCCCCGTGCCCTATCCTCCCTATTCACCCAATATTGCCCCTACTGACTTTCTTTTTGTTTGTTTATTTCCCTGGATGAAAAAAGGTCCTCAAAGGAAAACATTTTGCCAATGTGGAAGACATGAAAACAAAAAACAGCAGAAGCACTGAAAGGCATCAAAACTGACAAGTTCAAAAACTATTTTGAGCAGTGGAAAAAAGTCTTGATAGGTAGACTGCATCAAATGGAGAGTACTTTCAAGGTGACTGAAGTTTAGACATGTAAGAATAAATACACAATTTTTTTATAAATAAGTTCTGGCTTTGGGGGGTCCCCCCTCATAGACAGACGCACACACACACACACACACACACATAATGCCATGTGAAGACACAAGGGGAAGATAGCTGTGTGCAAGATACAGAGAGCGACTTTAGGAGAAATCCACCTTGTGACAATATTGATCTTCCTGCCTTCAGAACTGTGAAACAAAACATTTCTGCTGTTTAAACTGCACAGACTGTGCCTCTTTGTTGTGGCAGCCTTAAAAGGCTAGTACAGGCACTAAAGATAAAGTGTTTTCCTTTGGAGCCAGAATTCTTTGGGGTGGTTCTCCAACAAAATAAAACAAAACAAAGAAAAGAAATTAGTTTTATATGATTTCCGGTTATTCAAATATTTGGATTTTCCCAACGAACAAATACAGAACTTATACGTACTTTGATTATATCTGAACTTTCCTAACAATGCTAAACCTCTCCCAAATAAGTTTGGATCCATGCTTTATGCTATATTCAAAAATGAACTCCAGACAAATTAAAGACCTAACTGCAACAAGTCAAAAGCTTATAAAATAAAATGTAGCCAGTGAGTGCATAAAGACTTTTTGAACATGAAGCTCAATCTACAAATCACAATGTCAAAATTGTGTGGGTCTAACTTCATCAAAATGAAGAAGTGTGGTTCAATGACAGTGTCTCCTCTGCTCCAGTGGGACATCCTGGTGCTTCAGCTGGAGCCTGGGAAACAACACGATCCTCATTCATAAGTGAAAGGAAAAGTGTACTGCCTGAGCCAGAGGGGAGCTGGCTTATATAGACAAAAATCCCTGCCCCTTGTCTCTGATTGGTCCATGTCCAGGCAAATGAGGACTCGAAATCCTTGAAGTTTGATTGGTCCAAAAAGCACCATCCTGATTGGTCATAATAGAGCCTCTCTGATTGGACAGATCTGTGCAGTTGAATGAATGGGGAAAGTCTCAGTCCTATTGGTTAAAATAGGATTCCAGGAACTTCATTATAAGGGCTGGCTCAGATGGCAGAAACACAGGGCAGAGACTTCAGTGCAGAGATAGGTAATTAATTCAATACAGACTTCTAGTACAGTTTGCATGAGGACTCCTGTGTAGAAATGGCTGCTAAGTTCTGTTTTGTTCTGTTTTTTAATTTGAGCTCAGTTAGCCACCAGGAGAGACCTTCTTAGTGGTCCCTTTTTCCTCAGGGTTCACAACGGCTATCCTAGAAAAAGTTAACAGACTAGAGAAGATATCTACAACATCTAAAAACAGAAGAGATTACTATCTAGACTGTCCTCCTCCCAAAATAATATAAATGAAAACACAACAAAAAACAACTTCTGTAAACAATAAGAAAATAATGTAACACCCAACAGAAAAATAAGCAAAGGGTGTGAACAGGTAAATCTCAGGAAAGGGCCAGATGTCTAACAAGCATATGGAGAAAAGTTCAACTCTACTAACAACAAAAATACTGACAGTTTCAATGTCAATAAAATTCCACATTGTCCATTAGAATTGCAAAAACTGGCATATTGGATGATGTCAAGTGTTGGAGAGAACATAGAAATAACAAACTGTTAGATTTCATTTCAGGGAATGTGAACTTGTCCACTAGTTCCAGAAAGCAATCTGTCAGTACTGGAGAAACTGAGTGTGAGAGAGCCCTGCAACCCAGCAATCAACTTCTAGGTATATGTTTCAGAAATGCTCACATCAGATCCTTCTGAGAACATGTACTGGATATTCCTAATTACGTTATTTGCAGCATGGAAGTTAGAAATAGTGCCCATCCTTGGCGGAAAGGAGAAGCAAAATGAGGTGGAGAAATACTATGAAAATGTTATACAATTATCTAAAATAATAAATTGTCCACAGACCAACACAGATCTAAAACACAGTAAATGAGTATTTATACCACTAGTCCACTTATTAAAAATGCATATCTACACAACCCATGACATGTTTTCCAAAGGATATATTGGGTTGGCCAAATGGTTCATTTTTTCTGTATGACATCTCTTGCAGTGCTTACTTGTCTTTAACTTCATTTGAAACAATTTTGTTAGATTGTGTTGTGACAGCTGTCATACCAGTGTGCATTGAAAAATAACTGACCAACATTGGTGGATTTTTGTGCAGCCATTTTAATATTAAAGATGGAAGAAAGTATGTAACATTTTCAGCTTATTATGCTTTATTATTTCAAGAAAGGTGAAAATATAACTGAAATGCAAAAAAAAAAGAAAGATTTGTGCAGTGTATGGAAAAGGTACTGTGACTGATCGAATGTGTCAAAGTGGTTTGTGAAGTTTCTTAGTACTATTGACATTTTGGCCAAATAATTCTTTGCTGTGGGGCTGTCTTATGCATTGGAAGATGTTTAGCAGCACCCCTGGCCTCTACCCACTAGAAGCCAATAGCAGGAGATAGCCAACATACTCAAAATATCCAAATCAATAAAGTTACTGGTGACAATGAAAAATATATCTTTTGTGTTACAGAAAAAATTAAAAAAACATTCTGGCCAACCCAATACATTAGGCCCTTGAACAACTCTGGGGTTATCAGTACCAACTCCCTACCTGGGTGGCTTCCCACCCACCCTCCCCCTGCACTGTGGAAAATTCCCCTCTAACATTTGACTCTTCAAAAACTTAACTGCGGAATACCAAGAGAATACCTCTCCTAGTATTTCTTCTCTGAAGGTTGGTTCCAGGAACCCCTACATGCACCAAAATTCACAAAAGACCAAGTTCCTTATATAAAGTGGTATAGATCAGTGGTATAGTCATCCCTCCATATCTGCAGATTCCCAACTGTGGAGCAAAAATGCTATTTTCACTCACAGATGGTTGAATCTGCAGATACTAAACCCACTGATATTGAGGGCTGGCTGTATACGTATTTTTAAAAATTCACATAGAAGTGGACTCATGCAGTTCAAACCCCTGTTGTTCAAGGATCAACTGTGTAAATTTAACATAATGTGCTGATTGCCTTGTCGGGGAGAGGAATGGGAGGAAAATAGAGATTAAGAATAAAATAGAAAGTCTTGCATGCGCTGATGATGCTATACTATAAGCCAAGGAGCATAATTAGCTCAATACTGCACCTGAAATTTAAACACACACACACACACACACCCTACCACCCCAAGTTCCTCCTGAATTTCTTTCAGCATATTATTCTAGCAAGCCACATCAGCAGTGGGAGAACTGGAGTAAAACTGTCTAACCTTATTAAATTCTTTTGGTTACACAAGGCCTGTTTGTGTTTCTCCCCTCCCGCCAGGGACATTTGCTATGGCAATTTGTTACTACTGGGGAGATTTGTGCTACTGACATCAGTTGCATAGGGGCCAGGCACACTGCTGAACATAGCACAGTGAACAGGACAGCCTCCCCCAACGAAGAAACTTCCCTTCCACCTGTCAGTAGTGCTGAAGCTGGGAACGCCCATGCTACCTGACTAGGTTATCCAAATTAGGTGTTTGGGAGGCTGCCTGCAAGGTGACCAAATGCTCCTCTCTTCTTTCCCATCTCACCTTTCCATTTAATTTCCTTCCATCTTCCCCTTCCACTCTTCTATCATTTCTGCTCAAGCACAATCTACTGTCTACAATGTCTCACTCCCGCTAGTAGTCATTAATCTAATTCAATATCACACTGATTCTAATTGCTCATAGAAAGACCGTGAATGGGATAAACAGGTAGTAAACCTTTAATAAAGAAAAATAATTGCTAAATGACTTTCACTCCTTTTCCTTTTCTTCTTTTATCAATTGCTCCTGCACATAACCATCTACTGAAATAGGAAGAGTATCCAATTTAAAATTCACTGAGGGCCTCTACTAAATCTTTGTGAACTTGGTGAAAGAGGTTAAGTGTCCTAGGAGGACAACAGTTAGAAAGAACACACTGAGCCAGAGTCGGGGGCAGAAGTAGATCATGGCCACAGAGCGACAAGCTTGTGCCAAGGTAGGGGGCTAGGAAGGACGGAGCCCCAGCAATGGCAGGTTTGGGGCCAGAGTCCTAACAAGAGAGAGGAGAAAGAGAGACTCTTTGTGACTTTTAAACCGACCTCCAAAATTCTCTGAGCAACAGAATGAGCCTGTAATTTTGGAATGATTATATGTTTAAATGAAAATTGTTTAGGTAATGGAGACTATTAAACATTGAAATTGAATGTTTGGATGTCTTGCTCTGTTGGACTTGGTCATTTTTTTTAAAGGGGTTTGGGTATAGTGTTATAGTCCAATGTAGGCTAAGGTTCAGATTAACATTCTTAAAAGCTGTGATTTGTGTCTTCCTGTATTTCTCTGGACATTTTATCAATTAGCATTTGATACCTTGTCCCTAGGGCACTCACATTGCCTCTTGAGTGTCTGGGAGGTATTGGCCTTTCAATAAACCTTGCTTTTTGTCCTCATGTTGCTAATTATGGGGGTGACTTTTTGTTTGTTCTGTTTCATTTTGGTTTTTGTTTTTTAAGTGAAAGAAAAGTTTGAAAAATCTCTGAAGAGACATTATTCAGTCGAAGAGTAGGAATATGAATGTTTATTTCTCAACGTAATCTTTTGCCTTCTCCAGATTTAAAAAAAAAAATTGTAATTCTTATGAATTATCTGGACTTGTGTTAGTTTTTGTAAAAATAAAAAGAATTAAAAGAGAACAAATTTATAAAATATTGGGCACATTTGCACAATATATTAAGATAGGTCCCCAGTCTGGCTACCTAGAAATTAAATCATCCCGTATTATCCTTTAGAAATCACACTCCTGTCTCTTTAAAGAACAAGAGAAGGGGGCGGGCCTCCAGAGTGAGGAGGGTTCTCATTGGTCCGCCTGGGAGGAAGTGAGCGGTGACCGCAGCGTTTCTGTTGTCATCTGGAGGCTGTAGGGTGAGAGGACGAGGCGGGGCTGGTCATCTGGACACTTTGCGGGCAGTTGCTTCAAATCTCGGGAGTGGGGACGGTTCAAAACGGGTCCGCTTCATCGCGGTGGGTTTGGGCCCCTGGCAGCCTTTTCGCGGAGGCGCCACACCCTAGCGGCGGGGCCGACGTGGGCTTGGCGCCCCCTCGCACCGCGGAGACCCGGCCGTGGCCCAGGGGCTGGCGAGAAAGCGTCGCCAGGGCTGCAGTCGCCGCCCACAGAGCCGGGCCGGGGTCCCTGTCTCACCCCCGGTTCTCTCTTCCCCGTGTTCTGCAGGCTCGCTTCCGGCATCATGGCTCAAAGGGCCTTCCCGAATCCTTATGCCGATTATAACAAATCCCTGGCCGAAGGCTACTTTGATCCTGCCGGGAGGGTGAGTTTGGGATACACCTGCCTGAATCCCTTCTTCCGACCCCCAGTTGTTTGGAAAAAGCTCAATTTTGCTCAAAAGAGATGAGCACCCCTTTTTAAAACTACTTAACTCGATGGTAACTATATAAAATATATTTTAAATATATAAAATACATGCTGAAATATAGAATTTGAGCTTTAACATGTAGGCTACAAGGAATCATTGTTCATTGGTCATTGAAATAACCTAATTCATTGATACTTTATAAAAATAGGCGGATGCAGTTTACTACGTAATTTTGCATTTTTGATCTTTTGGTTCCTTTTTAAAGAGAGGTGAAAATCCTGACGGTATTTCACATGTGCCCTGTTCATTGCCTCGTGATTGTACACAAGTATAGGCCGGGTGCTGATGAGAGTAAACGAGTGTGTGGGTAAGACACTTTTGAACTAAAAGTGCTGAGAAGTGTGGGACATAGGCCTGGAATTCTTTGTGCCTCTTCCACGCCCTGCAGGACTTCTCCACAGCTGAGAAACCTAGTAAACTGTTTGCACCTCACAAACTACTGTGCGGAAGAGAAGCTGCTATGATTTACCAGGGGCCCATCTTTTTCATGTCTCTTTGGGGGAAGATAACTGTTAAAAGAGAAAAGAGTTCTTTCTATGAATACTTAGTTGAGAAATCCTTAGACTCAGTGAGATTGGGTAAGTGACCTCTTTAAGTGCACACACATTGTTATGAGGTTATTTTTTTCTAAACTCCTGTGTCATAATGAAAAGCATTTCGCACTTGATGTAATGGCCTTCAATTTTTCATATCTGTCAAGGTAACTTGTTCTGCCTAGCTCTGCAGATCCTGAAGCCAGAGTGTTTTGTCTTGTCTTGTTGGAGGAAGACATGCTGTTTCATGATAACTTGGCAAACAGAACACTTGAGGATGTATCCTAACAACAGAAGCCTTCAGGAAAATGTAGCTCACTATTTAGGCTATTTATAAATTAAATACATTTTCACAAAGTTAACTCTATTTCTAAGGGAGAAAAAAAAGATACTGGTAAATTTATACTCCAGCCCCCAAATAACAGTGATTTATTGCTTAACACATGCTTTTTGAACATATCCCTGAAAGAAACAAGCATACAAGTTCTAAAATTGTTTAACATTAAACACTAAGGATGAGACCATGGAGATCTGTCCTTAGTTTATCAACATACACATTTTAATAAGGAATTGATCTGTTTTCTGTCATTTATTAAAAGGGGGGATGTTTTTTAAGAGACTTCAAATATCACTAGAGTTTGAACAATTTTGTGGTCTGCCACAAGCAATCAATATTCTCAGGCAGATCGCCTTTATTAAGTGCAGTTATCGCACCAAAGAGAAAGTAACTTCCCTTCCTGAGGCTGTCTCATTATTCTTGGTCTCTTAAAGTAAGGCTAAGCAAGACAATAAATTTTCCTTGATCTAGTCATGGAAGATGACATGTTCTCATGTAGATGCACTCTTCTATCTAGTTGAGATTTATAGATCTGTTATATTAAAGTATATTTTATCTTACTAAGTGTATTTCCAAGACTTGAAATCTTAACCTCGTGGCAGAAATTGTTAAATAACAGGAGTAAGTCCTTCAAACAGTGTGGTTTCTTCTTCAGAGTGTGAAATAAGGGATCATAGGGGTGCCGGAGATGCCTCAGAATAAATAATGCACATGTGGTTGATAGTCTCATTTGCCTTATCAGAGATGCTCTTCACAAGTAAAACTTACTGTCTTTTTTTCTTAATCCTCTCCTGAGGGTATGTTTATTGATTAGAGACAGAGAGAGACGTGAGAAACATTGATTGGTTGCCTCCCATACACGCCCCAATTGGGGATCAAACCTGCAGCTGTTAGTGTGCAGGACAATGCTGCAACCCACTAAGCCACTTGGCAAAGGCATAAAATTTAATATCTTTTATTGTTATTAATCTATACTGTCTTCTTACCTTTTTCAATATTAAGATAACCTTTTTTAAAAAATGAGATGATGATGCTAACAGATAGTAGTTAGTTTTTGCAGTCCTTATGTGCCGAAGTAAAGTGTACCCGAGTGAATTCCCCAATATTGTTTTGAAATTTTACTGCTGTGTGAAATTTCCCAAGTCTGGGAATCACAGCAGACATCTTCTGATTTGTGGTTAATTTAATAAAGTGATTTTTATTATAATAAAACATTGGTCCAGTTCATCATTGGTAGTCTATTTTAGTTTTTTAAAAAATTTTATGTAAAACATTGATGTTATGACAAAAATACAGTGGATCCTTGAACAGTGCAAGGGATGGGGGTTGCGGACCTCGCCAGTGGTGAAAAATCCAAGCAGGACCACAGTCGGCTCTCCGCATACTCGATTCCTGAGTTGACCCTTGCACAACCCAGGTCGGAGCTTCGCAGTCAAGTGAAAAACACACATAAATGTGGACCGGCACAGTTCCAACCTGTGTTGCTCAAGGGTCAACTCTGTTTCCTGCCTTGAATAGTAGTACTTTTAAGTTTTGTTACTTTGTTGTTGTTGTTAAGAATAAAATACGGTAAGTCCTAACTGTAACTTTAAGTTAGGACTTTAAGCAAAGTTAGCAAAACAACATATAACAAAATCAGTTTTACCACGGGTTGATTGATATAAACACCAGTTAAAGTCGTATGGCATAATTCTGTTCACAGAAACATCAAACTTCTAAGTCAAGACTGAAAACACTTCTAATGTTAAACCCTGAAGTAAATGTCAGCTATAGACACATTTAAGAAAGATTCATAGAAATAAGTCTGGTCATTCTTCTCCAGCCCACTTAATGGGGGGCAGGGGCAGGGTGATGGGAGCCTGTCCTGCCAGCTCAGGGGCACTCACTCACACACGCACACATCCACACCCCACTGGGGACAATTTAGATGCCAGTATCACTCACATGCACATCTTTGGGGTGTGGGAAGAAACTGGCATCTCCAGAGAAAGCCCACAGACATGGGGAGAATGTGCAAAATCCACAGACAGTGGACCTGGTGGGAATCGTTTTTTTTCTTCATCAACTTATAACAAAACAACATTTAACAATGGTGTTAGTGAGGAGTTGCCGTAATTGTCATATCTCCTAGGCAGAAAAATGTGGCCTTCAGTGGAAATAAACTCTTTTTGACAGCCCATATCTAAGAGGTCAAGTGGCTCTTACATTTTGATGTCTCTTTTCCTCTTCGTATCTGCAGCTGACTCCTGAGTTCTCACAACGTTTGAACAATAAGATTCGAGAGCTTCTGCAGCAAATGGAGAGAGGACTGAAGTCCGCAGACCCTCGTGATGGCACCGCTTACACTGGCTGGGCAGGTACGAAGTGCTGACCAGGCGCTGGCATCAGCACTGGAGAAGGGGGCCACGCATTGCCTTTCTAGAGCAGTCTGACTCAGTACCGTTACATACTTCCTGCATCTGCATGTGAGTATTGCTGTGCTCTCAGCCTAGCCTTGGTGTCTCCTGGATCTTTTACAGTGCTCTGAATTTAGGGCAGAGTAGGCATATTCACGAAATTTATGACTGACAGAGATTTAGATGGCTGCTGTACTCGGGAGGAGAAAAACTGATGTTCCCCATTACATAGTTAATGTAGAGATTAAATTTCAGTGGGAAGAGTTCCACAATAGAGGTGAAATAGAGGTAAAGAGAATTTACCCAAAGGAAATGAAACACATCCAGAAGCGTTTTTCATAAAAATTACCATGTCATCAGGGAACCATACAGAATGGGAAGATATGGACTCCATGAACTGATCTTTTCATATCATCATTGCTGGTGGACTTAACATTCATTGTTTTGCCCATCGTTGAGAGGTTGGAGAAAATTTGGGAAGTAGTAGAACCTAGGTGTCAAAAAGGTAAGCCAGAGAAATCAAAGCAGGAAAGTTGAAGAACTGCACTTCGTTTACCAATGTGCGGAAACGAAGAAACTTTACATAATCTTGAAGAAAGCACAGATAGAGACTCGGTGTTTCCCAACTACTCTGAAAACTAGACAAGTAGGAAAAGGTTTTCAGCTGAGGAATTTGAATTTGATTTGAAGGCAGCGTGCTTGTCCTAAGAATGCAGTTCCTGAGCCTCACAGCAGGGACTCGGGTTCGGGAGGTCTGCAGCGGGCCCACGGTCATCTTTGCACTGGACTTTGAGAGCAGGAATTCCTAACAGCAGTCTCTTAGCAGGCCTCTTCTGGTAATGGCAAGTGAGTCTGTCTGTCCTCATGAGCCCAGGAATGCAGTTGAAATCAGGGAAAGTTACAGTCTCTCAGGGACACTTAAAGTCAGTATTTTATAAAATAAGAGGAATGGATGATCCCATTCTCTTATAGTTTATTTAGCTTTATGATTTTTGCTGATTTTAGCAACTTAACAAATGTTAAGATGAGAATAAAATAAAAGTATTTTGCTTCAAAATGAAGGTTATAACAACGTTTGTCACTTCATTGGGTGACATGTGACAGGTGTTCCTGGCATGCTGTAATTGGTAGATTAATCTCATTAATAAACATGACTGTTTATTTAAAATTATGAGGATTTAAATGAAACAGAACTACAATGCATAGTTATCTTTAGCTTCCCTCTTGATTTTGACTTTGTAATGAGGCACAGACTTATAGATCTTTTCTTAATACATTTCAAATTTCTATTATTTTGTTATTCCTGCCCCGTCCCCAAAAAAAGAAAAGAGAGAGAGAGACTGAAGCAGACATCTAGGTGTAATCTACTTCCGATCACAGAGAGGAGGAGCTGAACCTCTAACTGACCTGTTTGCATAAGCTTGTGTTATTACATAGTCATAAGTTGCCTTGCTTTAGCTAGAAAAGGAGTGGGGGCTGATTCCAAGTTGGAATTAGTAGTTCGACAGTGTCAGGAAAAGCCATCAGTCCTGCCCCTTTATTGCCAGGGCTAGTTGACAAACAAAAAGTTAAATTTCTCTTGGAAATAGAAATTTTCCTCCAAAATAAAATGAAAGTTTCTTTAAAATTTCTTGGCAGTGTGAGGTTTCTGGCATGATCTACTTTGAATTGTCAATATCCTTCAGCTTTTTGTCCTTAAGTATCTGAGATACTCCTCTCTGGCTCCTGGAAGGAGCTTACATGGCAAGTGTCTAAGGCAAATTGGCGTACTAAGCAAGTTCAGGATTTCTTCAGTTGCTGGCTGTTTTGTGATACAGCACAAAATCTTCTAGATAAATTTGCTAGTGGTTTTTGATAAAGGTTCCCTCTGTCTCCTAACTGAGCTCTGTTAAAGAGCCGTCATTCACCATAAATGGACCGTCTTTGCCAGTGTTCTGGTAAGTAGAGTACCCTCCTTTGCTGGTGCTCAGGCAGTCCGAACAGCATACAACTCTGAGACACATAAGATCCTACAGCTGATTTGGCCACAGAAGGTCACAATGTCCATACCTCCCATTATTTTGTATCATACCAAGTATTCACAACTGCAATTTTAATATGAAAAGTACATACACAGATGTCTTCACTCAGTGAAAATACTCAGTGCGCATCAGAGCAGGATTTATGGGATATGAGCAGATTTGTTGCTTTGTGTGTGCCCCATGTTATCTTTCAGAAATTGATACTTTCTATAAAATTTTTATAACACAGGGATTATAGTTCATTAACTTTGTCCTGCTCTAAATTTAGGGTCATATTTTGATAAATATTAATTTATTTTTGCTCTTGTTGCTAACTTGTCCAAAATTGTTGCTTTGGGAAATTCTAATTCATTGTAGAAGCCTCCAAAACTTTCTTTCTTTCTTTAGTGTTGACATTTACTGAGCATTTGTTGTCAGTTTACAATGAAAGTTTTTCAGGTTGTATTATTCATTACATAGTGTGTATGAGAAATCTTCATGAAATTACAGTTAGTTAAAACTTTTAGATTACTGTCCTGGTATTATGTTAAGTTTCATTCCCCTGTACAAACATATCAATACTTAATTCTGATCCAGATAGGATTCAGATTTGGAGTAGAAATAGGTTCCACCACATATACCCAGAAGAATCAAAATTGCAGTGCCTTAAATAAAATGGAAGTTTATTTTTCCCTCATGTCAAAGAAGGCCAGAGAGGCATTCCGGGGTTAATGATAGTGGGCTCAGATGTCAGCTGAAACCCAGTCTCCTTTCTTCCTGCTCCATAATCCCTCAGCCACTGGCTCTCTACCTTCTGGGCAGGTATCTGCTGAAGATCCACCATTCCACAAGCTTTTCAGGCTGCAGGAAGGCAAAAGAAGCAAAGAAGGCATTTCTTTCCTTAAGAAAGACTTCCTGAAAGTGCCGCTCAACATTTTGGTTCTACTTACTTTGCATTGGCTGGAACCCATTCAGTAGCCACACCTGTTAGCCAGGAAGGAGGGTAAATGGACTCTGTTAGCCGGGGTTCTGTCGGTAAGGGAAAGGCGAGGGTGCATTGTGGGATGAGAACTAGCAACTAGCAATCTGCTGTAGTCCTGTATGACAAGAACAATGATGCTTATTTCTATTCCTGTGTTTGCACAGGGATTTGGGCAGTGACCCTCAATTTCTTCACATTTTCGGAATTTTTATCTGTAAAATATTTTGAAATTTGCTAAGCAATATCTTGCCTGCTCTTTTTAGGGAGACTCAGATTTTGATCCAGGACACCTTTATTCGTTTTCTTTTTTTTTTAATTTCAGTAAGTAACAGTCTTTTCATAAAGCCAGCCATAGAAAGGAGGCACTGTGGGAATGCCAAGCATAAATAGTCTTTCTCCAGCCGAGTCTAACAGATCTAGAAAGAGTGCAATTGATTCTTAACTTAGCCGTGTGAAATGTCAGTGTTCTCTCAACTTGATGAAAGTCGCCTGCCTTCTTTTTCCACCTCCTCTCAAACTCTCATGTGCTTGTCATGGAGTCATAAAGTCCTTAATTTGTGGGTGCCATGGACCAGCCCATGTAAAGCCCACACTCATGTGTCTGTTCTGCTTCATGATTCTAAAGAAAGATACAAAACTAGGCTGTCCTACTTTATAACGCTCATTCACACTGTGCCTAGATGTGCCTGAGTTGTTTACTTGATCCTGAAAATGAAGTTTTTTCAATGCTACATATGGACTCACTACTGAAACACTGGGCTCCTATCCATTTTTCTGTCTTTTCAGTGAAATCTGAGGCTAGTAATGACAGGGTACTTACTAGAATTTCTGCCATAGCACCTCTGTATTTTATGAGCTTCAGGAAACACTATGTGTATAATGCTTTATTAGTAAGGGTAATATGTACTGGTTTAAATAGAAATTTTAAAGAAGCAAACATTGCTTTAGGAAGTATTTTACATTCACTTCATAAACTATTTTACAACTGAAATATCTTACCTGGATTTCCTTGGGAGCCTTCCAAAAAAAAAGCCTTAGATGGGCCCAGGCTGGCCACAGCGCACAGTCTCCTCCACAGGTGTGAGCTCAGCAGTGCAGGGCCACTTGGGAGTGAGGTCTGTGGGTCTCCTGTTAGGGGGCAGGGGAGAAGGGGTGGGAAGAATGGGCACACAACTCAGTGTCTGCCCGAGTCTCTGACAGGCCCTGGGTTCGTCTGAATTCCCTTAAGTTCCCCAAGACGGAGCACATCAGGGCCAAACCTGGGTGTAGCCAGCAGATTTTTCTGCAGGGCAGGAGCTTAGTCAGATAGGTACTCCGGGAGTGAGAAGGATGAGGTTAGTGACTCCCCTAGGCTGGTGCTGTAGGGCTAGGAGTGCTAGGACCAGGGAGGATGGCCTCTCTGCCCAGTGTGGGTTAGAGACTCAGTACAGGGTCTGTGGCAGCTGCCCCTTCAGTTCTCCGTATGACTCCAGTTTGCTCAGAGTCATCTTTCCTCCACCAGAGCCCCAGGTAAATAGCTGAAACTAGATTTTGTATGCTGGCTCTTTAAGAGGGCAGGGGTTGGGGGCGGTCTCCCAGCTGGTTTTCACAGTCAGATGTTATGCAGGCTGCTCTTCCTGGCTCTGGTGCTCTGGGTTGGAGAGCCCAGCGGGGGCTGAGACCCCTCACTCGTCAGCAGAGACCTTTGTAGTTGAGATATCCCTCCAGATTCCCCACCGCCCCATGTGAGTGCAGAGGCAGCCCTTTCTGTCTCTCCACCCTTCGTACCAGTCTCTCTGTGGCTTCCTCTGTGGATCCTTGGTTATGAGACTTCTGTTCAGCTAGGCTTCAGTTGCTTATTCAGGATGATGGGTCTATAATTTAGTTGTAATTCCCATGTGGCACTGGGGGGAGGTGAGTGTAGCTTCCACCTACTCTGCAGCCTTCTTACATCCCAGCATCGGGTTTTAATGGGATTCAGGTTTCATTCCCACTGAGCC